CCGCAATAGAATATGAAAATGGAAAAACCTCTGAAAGAAGGAATTACCCCTTCAAAACGTGTGGTAAATTGCTAAAAGGTGAAATTTGTAACCTGTAACAGGTTCTTTAGTTGGAGAATCTGGACTAGCTATATGACGTCATTTTGTGAAAGCATCTTCACCAGCGTCTATTAATGATAAAGATAACCTAATTTATTATATAAACTTCGGTGTTATGCAAGGATTTCCATCCCTAAGAAAAACCGTAAAAACACGATTAAGAAAGTGTGGTATTTTTTCACGCGTGTTTGAAAACGCTAATCAGCTGCTGACTCGTCACTTTCGCGCCACGTTGATGAATGAACTGCGAAACCTTTACCCAATCCAAGGTCGTTTGTCGGAAGTTTTTCAAATTATGGTTGCTAAAACACCGAAAAATTCCATATCGTTTAGAGACAGTGACGTTCAAACTTTCCTGAAGGGGAAGAAAACCAAAATACGGAAAGAAAAACCCAAAGTTACGTTTTCAGTGACTTTGGTAATGGCATTTCTCGCAGCTGAGAACGAAAATCGACAACTGAAAGGTTTGCCACAGGCCGATTTTGGCCGTGTACCTGAAAGATTTCTTCGATCGGTAAGAACCAAGCCAACAACTGAGAATTTTTTATATTAAAAATTACGCTCATTGTTTGTTCCTGTAGTTTTTCGACGCATTTTTTCATCTTGAGCCTTGGCGCCAACGCACTTTACGATTTTTATTCAGGGATTGTCGATCCTTTTATTTTAATTCATTAATAAAGTTGACTTTTCTAGTCAGTAAAGGGCTATTTTGTTTATATGATAAACAAAATAACACATGGTTGCTTGTGGATATAAAATTTCTCTTCTTGTGTTCAACTCACGGCGACATCTCACTCGTTCGCTGCACTCACTCGTGAGCTATCGAGTTAAACACTCGAGGAGAAATTCCATATCTACGCGCGTGCATGTAATTTTCTCTACATCTGCTTCAAACTGACGAATTTCTCGGTACAATGCTTATTCATGACGGAAATCCAATCTTCCATCCAGAATCAATTCCGAAAAGGGAAGCAATAATTGGTTAGCTGTTAAGATGATTAAATTGCAGAGGAAATCCGTGTTAACTTACCAATGAGAATTTCTAACCCTTTGAAGTTTTGCGGTTTGTTGCCTAAGGCTGTCACAATACGCACCAGAAGGATTTTGTATAATGCTATCAAATTAACCGACCACCAAGTACTTGCCTGAAAATCGAAAGGCAACAATAAAATCTTAGAAAAAAGCTTTTTAACAATAATTTTGGAACAGCCAAAGGAAATTGGCCTGAAAGACATTATTGTTAAATACACCTGTCATAAGATCCATCCAACTCTCTAGGTAAATTTTTCACCGTATTTTTTCTAACTGTTGCTTCACCCACCAAGTTTTTGATCGCAGCCTATGTATGATTCCTCCTCATGGCTCGAGGACTTTGTAGGACAAGTTCCCGCCAAGTTTGCCAAAGAAAGACCGCGTTAATCATAACCATTACAATTTCCTCTGATGGGATTGGTGCATTAGCTGCTTGATATTTCACTAACTCTGTACAGTTGTAATCGGACAGTTGGCTGTAATCGGACTGTTGAAGCAGCCAATCATACTAAGTCCACTCAGCTTAATCCACTAATCACAGAATTGACCATAATAACCATGGCAACAACAACTTACCCTGAAAAAAAAACTGGGAAATTTCCAATTTTTTTACTTTAGACTTTGTCCCTTCTGGAGATGTTTGTCCTAAATATATTAGATTCTTTCTTTTTCGGAAATTGTAATGGTTATGATTAATTGGTAATAGGACTTCGTGTTGTCCAATTCTGTCTGTAATCATACTCGTGATTGACAAATCGGACTCCCGCTTCGTGGTCGTCCGATTTTGTTAATCACTCATGTGATGACAGACCTAATAATATACATGGAAAAATTACTCAGTTCTGATTGGTTAAGATAAATGTAGTTTTCAGGTAATTCAGTGCAGGAGAGAATTAATTCAGTGCAGGAGAGGGTTAATTTAGAGCAAAGAAAGTAACAAATCAGACATTCTGATTGGTCAATAATCAAAGAAACTCACAGATAGCCAATTAAATGCGAGCCTTGGATGTCGCAACAAAATTTGAAAATTTGAAAATTGGCGAGCGAAACAATGGCCGGCGTTTTAAATAGGTTTTCTTTCGCCACCGAAGCTGAAAAACCGCTCAGAAAACGAGAAAACTGTAGAAAGCACTGCTTTTTGGTAGTCGGTTTGGAAAAAGTGGTGTTTAGAGAAGGGAATTGCCAAGGAAATCGAAAATTACGGGCAGACCCAGCTTCACACTTTGCTCGAGCGATCCAACGCCGAAATTAAAACCAAACATGGTTAAACCTCAGAAAAGACGATTTCATCTCATCGAAAGTGATTCGGACACAGACTGAAAAATTCCTTGAACTATTTAGCCGGACTCTGAACTGTTTTGCGCCTCAAAGATGTGAAGATATCATTGCATATTATTGTTTTGATCGTAGGCGGTTGTTTTGACCGAACGCACGGTTAAACAAATTATTTTTGCACTTGATGCGCGCGCTTTGCTTATGCTTAATTATGATAAGCCATCTCGTATTTTTCCATGTATATTATTAACTCGTAATCACATGATTTTTCTCGTGCAATTTGGAATAAACAAGCACTTGTTAATTTTTTCAAAGACCGCAAATTGCACTCGCTCTACAGGCTCGTGCAATTTTGTTAGTCTTTAAAAAAATTTGCTCGTGCTTATTTATTCCAAATTGCGCACGAAATCATGTGATTACCTATCCGAATTGGACTCCACTCGTTCCTATTACCATTATTAATAGAGGGGTCTAGCAAGAGGACGGGAACGTCATTTCAGAACGGGAAACCGCGCGGATAATCTGGACACGACTCTATTTCGACTTCCAGTGTTAGCGTTGCCGTTCTCCCCATCAAGTTCAGGACGTCATTTCGCTGGTTTTCCCGTCGTGACCAAAACGCCTAGGATTTGCGTTAATTGTGCACTTATAAACGAGATAATGCTGTTTGGAATGATTTCAGAACTCATTTCCAGGACAACCAGATTCCTTTCTTTGTCTTATTCGGTGAATTTGTGAAAATTTATCGCTACATTTATTCTGGATTCCCGAAAGGAAACACGATCGTCAGCGAGCGATCTAAGATTTTAGGGCTCAGTTACCTTTTGTAATTGAGTGTGGCTTTAAGCAACATAAGGGCTTTTCTTTGATACATTTCTTAAACCATGTATGAAAACTCTAAGAACGGGTGCCGTTAATTTTATCGTGAATTAATTCATCAATAAATTAAACTTGTTTCATGTTGAAGTTTATCAAAATGAAACAACACGAAGGCTACCTGCTATATTATTCAGTGTTATTTGTTGTCATTGTCGTTTTAACCGTGATTCAAAATTGTTCTGCGAATTGAAGTCCGAGGTAAAAAAAAAGGGTCAAGTTACAAACTGCAACACTTCAAAGGATTAAAGATTCTCATTGGTTAGTTAACACGGATTTCCCCCCGCAAGTTAATCATCTGAACAGCTTACCAACTATAGCGTCCCTTTTCGGAATTGGTTCTACATGGAAGAGACTGGGTTTCACTTATGAATCAGTATTGTACCGAGGAATTCGTCAGTTTAAAGCAGATATAGAGAATATTCCATGGACGTGCGTAGGTATGGAATTTCTCCTCGAGTGTTTAACTCGGTAGCTCACGAGTGAGTGCAGCGAACGAGTGAGATGTCACTGTGAGTTGAACACAAGAAGAGAAATTTCATATCTGCAAGCAACCATTTATTATTTTTTTCGTAAACAGGATAGCCCTTTACTGACCAGAAAAGTCAACTTTATTAATGAATGAAAATGAAAAGATCGACAATCTCCGAATAAAAATCGTAAAGCGCGTTGGGGCTAAGGCTCAAGATGAAAAACTGCGTTGAAACACTACAAAAACAAACAATGAGCGTAATTTTTAATATACAAGTTATTGGTTTGGTCCTTACGGGCCGAAGAAATCTTTCAGGTACACGGCCAAAATCGGCCTGTGGCAAATCTTCCAGTTGTCGATTTTCGTTCTCAGCTACGAGAAATGCCGTTATCAAAGCCACTAAATACGTAACTTTGGGTTTTTCTTTCCATCTTTTGGTTTTCTTTCCTCTTTAGGAAAGTTTGAACGTCACCGTCTCTGAGCGATACGGATTTTTCGGTGTTTTAGCAACCAAAATCTGCAAAACTTCCGAAAAACGATCTTGGATTGAGAATGGTGAAGGCTTCGCGGTTCATTCATCAACGTGGCGCGAAAGGCGAGTGATATGTCAGCAGTTGATTGGCGATTTCAAACACCCGTGAAAAAATACGAAATTTTTTCAATTGTGTTTTTACGGTTTTTCTCAGGGCTGGAAATCCTTGCATAACACCGTAGCTTATATGATAAATTAGCTAATCTTTATCATTAACAGACGCTGGTGAAGATGCTTTCAGGAAAGGATGTCATGTAGCTAGTCTGGATTCTCAAGTTTCACCTTTTAGCAATTAACTACACTTGTTTTGAAGGGGGAATTCCTTTTTTCAGAGGTTTCCCATTTTCATATTCTATTGCGGAAACAAATCTAGCCATTTCGTGGGTAGAATGGAAAGAGAGAGTAATGCGCATGTGTGATTGCATGCGCAATCCCATTTGTTTGCACTAGAAAACCTTGCAATACTTTTAAATATTGAAAAGTAAGAAGTCAAGGAGGAAGCAAAGGAACTTGTTTATTTTTCTGAAAGCTGAGATTGACAAGCTTTTGGATTAGCAAGGTTCTCATTGATTGCCACAGGGTTTAGTTATGAATTCGTGTAAGTTAAGTGTTGTTTCCTGGGGTGATAATCTTAATGTTATCATTCTCAGAGCGCACTGAAGTTTCCATTTGAGATAGAAAGTACACAACAGAGCCAAAAATTATAGGGTTCTTTTAAAAGAAGACCACGAGCCACAGCAGGACCAGGGACCACAGCAGCGTAGTTATGAGGAACAAAACACGGGAATGGAATGAAACGCCTGATGACCTCAGTAAATCTGCAATAATACGAGAAAAAAGTTAGAATGTGCCTTATCTATACCATACAGCAAAACTTACAACACAGTCAATTAATCACCAACTAGCACATGAAGTTGTCTTTAAATAGATAAGTATCTGCCGCCCCAAGCTTACAAGACTCGTTTCTTTATGACAGATGATGGCTGCAAGATGTTATTAATATCTGGGTACGTTAGGGTTATTGAATGGGCAACATCTTCATACAACCAAGGAGTGTATTTATAGCCAGATGGCAATCATCCTTAAGCTTTGTATGTGTGGCTAACAAATGTCCATCTTGTCATAGTGGCTAGACTTGGTGTGAAAGCTAACAATTTACTTCCATAACCATCAGGGTACAATACCATCTCACTTATCCTATCCCGTCCCTTCCATTCTATCCATCCCAATCTATCTCAATCAATGGTGTCTCATCCTATATTGCTCTCTTCTATCTCAACCCATCCCATTCTTCCTCATTCTATCCTATCTGTCGGAATATTCCATTCTATCCTAGCCCATCTCATATTATTTCAGTACAATCACTAACCTAATTGACACGTTAGGTCTGGGCCCAGATGAAAGCCTCTCCTGCACAGACAATTTCCTCTCAGACAATATGAATTTTCTTCACACTCTGGAAAGCAAATTTCTGAGGAAAGTAATAACAGGTTTTAATGGTAGCATTGTTTGTTTACAGTGGGCACCAAAGATACATTTATAAGCTTGAGCTTAGTTATCTCAGCTCTACGACAGTAAAAAGACTCTTTTCCAGAGGTGAAATTAAATGTGAAACATTACCTGAACAAGTTCCATCAGATTCTTTTCGATAACCGTCTTTACAGAGACAGTCATAGCTACCATTTCGGTTCTTACACCTTGAAAACTTAGGGCAATCGTATGTGTTCTCCTTACATTCATCGATATCTATATTAAACAAAAAGGACATATATATAACTTTCCATGTCCTTCTATTTCAGATTGAGTCGTCTTTGATATAAATAACTAAATTAGAGCCTTTAAGAGAATATTCCCTACTTAGGGCAAATGGGTCGATCTGTCGCTTCAATAGAGTGACAGGCAGTTAAGTTTTCCCTGAACTTGCTGAACTTTGCGGAAGAGAAGAATACCACAGGTCCCTTAGAAAAAGAACCCTATATGACGCTGAAAAGCAGATGGCTTTTATCCTCCTGCACCATGAAGTCACAAATGAAAGGATAAATACTGAATATTAAAAGCAAAGAAAGATCCTCGGGGGCGGACTCCGACTTTTTGCAATTGCACAGAGGAAGCCGCAAAAAAATTCAGGGATCGACAGGATTCGAATTGGTGCCTTCTATATACTATTTGACGCTGCAACAAAGGAAATTGGTTAATGTGTGATACCCAAATAATATCTGGGAATCTCGTCGAAGAATTTATCAAGGATACCTCTATACAATTGCCAAAATTGCACTGCACTGGCTTGGATTATATCTTTGCCTGATTCTCATTCGCTGGTTAAATGAAAGTTGTTCCATTTCAACTTATTTATAGACATTAATGAAACAACATTTGTAATAGTGTAGTTTGATCGTCCGGGTGAGATTAGTCCTGGGAAAGACCGTTGTCGGTAGTGGTGACTGACGTTTCGACAACCTGAGGGGAAGTGATCATCAGAGTCAAGTGAAAGGTTTTTGTCAGTCGAATGTACTTAGTCCGGTTTGTCTAAACTGATTGGTCAGTTTTGCCGTGATGTTATTGGCTGTAAGACTCAAGTGGCGCAGGTCAGTCGTGATCGGTCGGTTTGGATCCGTTGGTGAAGTTAGGTTGTTCTGTTCGGTTCGTTTGTAATGTTAATGTCGTGAATGAGTCGTTTGTATGGTGCCGGTATTGGTTGACACCTGTTGAGGGGAGTCTGTTCCAAGTTAGTAAACCAGCTTCCAGGGTCAGTCGTTGAAATTAGTTGGTGCTGTAAGTTAGGCATTTCGCAGAGTCCCAGTCAATAGTGTGGTGCGTAAGTCGGTGATGTTCAGCAATGTGATTGTTGACATCGCCTTTCCTCGTCGCTCGTTTGTGTTAAGTCAGTCTAGTTGTGAGGTTTCTGCCAGTCTCAACGATGTAGGAGAGTTTTTTCGAGTTTTTTTTTTTCGAGTCATCTTGCCTTTTTGCTCAGTGGGCGCGTAGACAATGAAAAAGTTGCATTTAACAGAGGAGAAGCATTGGAAAAGTTTTAGCATGAAGGCTGAAGATTCACGGTCCCCGTGGAAATCGCTAAGGCCAAAGTCTACGTAATCAAATGCGAGTCCAAAATAGATAATAAAATAAATTGTTTGGGGTTTCAAGTGCGGACTAAAGAAAGTTCAAGCCGCGTAGATTGCTTCTACCGACTCCAGGAACACATAAACATCAAACTGACCGAAGAAACACCAGTTGACTACATTTATTGGATTTATTTTCCATTCGCAATGTTCAGATCAGTTTTCGGAGCATTTTCAGTTATTGTTTCGAACGTCAAAAAGCGTAGATCTCATAAACGCCGGAGTGTACAATAAGTTGATGTTGGCTACAATACCTTTTGGGGAGAATTTGGCCACAGGCCCAAGTTGTTCTTATGCATAGTTGTTGACTGTTTTTATATCGTGCTCTTCACCTAATCATTACCTGCACAATATAATTTTTCTGAGCGATATCCTTGGTCACAGCTGCAGGAGTAGGATCCAAATGTATTTGTACAAATCATATTGGAATGACACGAATGACTAATTGTGCACTCATCGTTATCTGAGAAAGTAGAGAGAGATATGACGGTCAAAATTTTGAAATTCTACTTAAACTCATAAACACGCGTTTTATTTGAAATCGATATGGATGTCGAAGAAAAGTCATTTATTCTTAAGATTAAAAAAGGGCAATGTTTCTCACCTTCACATTTCTTGTTTGTTTTATTGAAAAAAAATCCATCCGGGCAGTTGCATTTGTATGATCCATAGGTGTCCTCACACACTGCTGTAGGACCACATATGTATTTTTTCTCGCATTCGTTTATTTCTACGATAACAAATGTCAGTAGATAGCATAAGTGTAATGAGTCAATTATTTATAGAGCCGGGTTGAGCGCTTTGATTGGCCATTCGCAGCAAAGCGGGAAAAGGAAACCAGCAGAAAAATAACTAAGTTATTTACCGGTATAGGTCGGTCTGTATGGGAAAAAACTGTACCCTTTGTCTTGGGTACCGCCCTGGCCTTCGGCTTCGAGCCGTATTCAAGACCTCAAGCACAGTGAATTGCCATACGGACGTCCTCCGGGCCGACTAAGCTTATTTTTACGATAAAAGATATTCTTGAAATGTTTTTAACCCTCATAGCAGCTTGCCCATTTATATTAGAAGGTCACATCAACCAAAAGTCACCGTAACAGTTTTTTCCACTGTCCTCTTTACTCCTGAAGCCAACTTCACAGTTGCAGTGGTAAGATCCCCGAGTGTTTGAACAAACGGAGTTTGGACCGCAGATATTTTTGACCAATTGACATTCATTTGTGTCTAGAAGATGAGGAGATAAGAGGTTAAGTTATCAGTTGACTCACGGACGAGACAGGAACTATTCATAAGCCAGCCTTGACAATTGGAGTTAAGTACATACGATGTCTGAACAATTAAGAACAGCTTCTGCAATTTGGAAGAGCTCAACCGTTCTTCCCACTTAGCTTAGCCAGGAACTAGCTTAGTGGCTGAATCACTAGGCGCTCAAATCTTGATTTGAATCTGTCTACATTCGAAACCGAATTGCTCTATGGGAAGTTGTTCAGTCTGAACCAAGCGCAAGGCTATTTAAGGTCAAGTTCTGCTGTAAACAGAACCTATTCTCGTTTTTACTTTTGTTTTGGTTGTTCACTGTGATGGAAGTAAGATTTAAACGGAGAGAAGAAGTAAACTGCTGGAGCCATTTAACCGACAGTTACGTGTGACGATTGAGCAAATAGTACACACACAAAAATTGACATTTTCATAAAAAATAACTTCCAACTCAACCTTCCGAAGGAAAACCCTGTCTATCCCGAGAATTTTCGTTACTAAGCTTTACCGCGACGTGTTATAAAGTATTATGACCATGCAAGGTAAATGGTAGAGGCTTGTATCGTTTAATAACTACTCTCTTTGCTCAATAATGATGATGAAGACAATGTCCTACCAACACAGATCTTGCCGTTGAAATGATAGCCTCCTTTGCAATCACACAGGTCAGTATCCTTGAAGTTTTTACAAATTAAATTCTCTTTGCACTTGCCATTGGAACAGCGAGGTAGTTCTGGTATGATAGAGAAATCGTGCTTCATTCGAATTCCATTCGCTTGAAAAAAACTTTTTCAGAACAATTATTACCATTTAATTTCATTGTTCATGGGGGGGAGGGGTGAAACGGTTTTAGATTTACAAAAATCATCCTATGGCGGAACCTGTTGTAGAGATGTCGAACGGCCACGATGGTCGCTTAAGGGGCTAAATAACTGCATTCATTTGAACCTCATAAAGAGATAGTGACAGCCTTTCTTACGTAAGCAGGACTTGTAGCCATCTCCACCGAATCCATGGGAACACGTGCAATTAAAAGAACCAGGGCTGTTAAAACACGAGGCGTCCACGTGGCAAGATTTTTTCACTGCGCATTCATCGATATCTAGAGAAAAATAATAAAAAGCTATAAACTTACAAGGGTGACAGACGCAATATTTGTATCAGAGAAAAATATGTATGAACAGAGGGATTGTAAGTGATCCTCCAAGATAAAATGCCATTCAAGCAATGGAGGTCCGCCGGTGTAGCTGGACCATAACAAGAATTCAGGTTATGACGAGACCAATTAATTTCTTACTCATAAGAAATATTTGTGAAACGATAACAATGATTTGATAGGTGAATTCGCCAAGAAAGTTTTGTTCTTTGCTCGTATCACGCACGAAAGATCATCCTTTTTTAACAACGCCCATCCCAGTTCTTTCGAGACAAACATCATAGAACATGCATTTTAACTTTCACACCTCGATTCAACCGACTGAAAGATATATATATATATCATTTATTTTGCAATAGGTACAGAAAACTAACCTTTACATTCAAGTTTATGGCCACTTTTGTCCAAGACAAATCCATTCCTACAGGTGCAGTTGTAATGACCTGGTTCATTGACACAAGTGGATGTTTTTCCACATTTGTTTAACGTCGGTTTTTCGCACTCGTTAATATCTGAAATTGGTTTGAGGTAGATTATACAATACACCGAAGTCACTGGATTGCATATTTAATATAACACAAAAGATATGGTTAAGAATAGTTCGGGAGGGAGGTAGAGTGGGAGGAGATACAGAACACAAGGGCGCCATGATATGTTTTTTTAACAGCAGCCGGAGGGGTATTTCTCTTTGACTTTAAATGAAAGTAGACGTCAGAGTGTTTCTATTTTCTTCTTTAGATGGCATCAAAAAACTAAAACATGCAACTTTGTCATACCTTGACAATGAAGAAGAACTCCTTTATGACCAAACGATGGATTAAATCCGTATGGACACTTACATATGTAAGACTTGAAGGACTTAACACAGATGGAGTCCTTTGCAGCACAGGGGGGAATGCAGTCCTTTCTCTCTGTCGATTCGGAAAACCAAGGACATGTTAAAATCGTGCAATAATGAAGTATGGCAAAATTTGACTCAACAATGGACGTGAGCAGGTAGACTTCTTTTGAACCATTCCGCGATATCAGATAAGCTTTCAATTCTAACTTTACATACGCCGTGACCTTTTCATTTAACATGGTGTAAACAAAGCCGACGCTAAAAACTTTGCAAAATCAAGCCCAATTGGGGTTTGAACTGATTTTGATCAATATTTGATGTAGAAAGAAGCTTTTGCTGTTCTTACATGTCTTATTACCCCACGAAAGTTTAAAAAGCTCCTCGTATATTTTCTGTAATGAGAATACTAACACAGAACTCGTTCAAATGCCGAGCTACCATCGGACCTATTGCGCAAGTTCGACTTTTGATGCCCTCTCTTTTCTTGAATGAGAGGCTACTGGTAATATTTTGTGGACTGAGTACGAGACTGAGGCATTCGTCTTCAGCCCTTTTTTCCGGAATCGATATCGATAATGATGATTGCAAGATAGATATTAGTTGATATAATCATTGAATTTTTGTATGCATGAACGTCTTCAAAAGCAGAAAGAGGTCCGTATTGGTCAAAACAGTTCCCGAGGTCTTGGATACCGTCCGAGGTCGCAAGCCGAGAGCGGTACATAAGATAGAGGGTACAGTTACCGACATTTTTGTTACTAATAGATAGTAGAATAAACAAAGGCAATGCACATTAGAGAGGTAGAGAGGCTTCACCGAAGCATTTTTATTTTTGTAATGATAAAGTTGAGTTAAAAAGCCTTTCAGGCAAAGGTTGACATATTTTTTTCCTAAGTCTCTCTCAAAATCTGACACTTGTCAATTAGAAAGGGCATAGCAAAACAAAGAGCTCAGTCAACTGTTGAATGAACAGCACTTGTGGTTTGGAAAACAATCTCGAGTTACATGGGTATTACGACGATTTTCTCTTCATTGTTCTTACAAAAATAATTTTTCACTTCCATCGACAATTAATATTCAACGATTTGCCTCTGTTCACTTTTAAACGGCGCGAAAATTCACAGTAAGTAAATTTAACTGAGTGTTTTGAAGTTGTGAGAGTTTGTTTGTTTGTTTGTTCGCTGCAAGAACGTGTTTAAAAACTGTTCTTTCTTGCACAGAAAAAAACTCGGGGGATTCAATGCAGCTTTATCCATTTAATTTTTTCTGTTTCTGTTGTGTTATTTATGGTACAATTGTCCAAATTCAACGGACTCGCAAAGACTTACTGAAAGTGTACTTGTTGTGCAAGTCAAAACTTTGCTCAACCTTTACAATGAAAAAATTGTTTTGGAGAATTCAGGAATTAAATAAATAAAAGTTACATTGATATATCTAATGGTAATCAAATACCTCAAGTTTCTAACTTTTCGAGGTATTCTATGTGAAAGATTGTGACATTACAAACTGTTTTTTAGACGGCATGTCAACCCATCATTGGGGAAATAATTTTTAAGTTATTTATCGGCTTGAAACTGACATCTTTACGGAAATAGCAAAGAACCTAGGAATGTTCTCGGCGACTCACAAAAGCGTTACTCAATGTGCCTTTTGGTAGAGTACGGAAAATCTGAACCACGCAAAGAACCAATCAGATTTCGGGATTCTTTACCGTGCGAATAAAGCAAATAAATTGAATATCATGCATAAGACATCCTCTATAAAATTTTATATACCTGTTTTTGGGAAATCAAAATAATGATAATGATACTAATACTTGTATTAGTAATAATATTAATAATCAGTAATAATCATCATCATAATAATAACAGAGTAAGAAAATTACCTTCACATTTGTTTGATCCAACCTTTCTGAATCCATCAGGGCACACACATTTATAGGATTTCTTCCCATTTACACATTTTAAGTTGTTTGGACAAATGTCAGGTCTTTTACAATCATCAATAGCTTGGAAAAAAAATTTCAGTGGAATATTAAAATGAAATTCCTCTGGGTCAGGTTGTTCAAAGTCAGTACATTTCTTTTTGTCTACAATTTGATGATTGAATGTCTTTCGAAGAGTAGAGGAAATTATCCGAGAGAGGTGGTTGAACAAAATTATAAAGAAATCCGGATTAAAATTTAACTCTGAGTAAGCAGTAATCAACCTTCGAACGACTGGGCCCTGATCAAAGGAATTACCCCTTTAAAAGTGTGTGGTAAATTGCTTAAAGATCAATAGTCTAATATATTATAAGAGTTCCTTTTGAATGCATCTGTGGTAAAGTAGAACTAAATTTCTGCTTGTTGCTGGATCTCTGCAACATGTAGAAAACTAACTGAATTACAGGGTTGGCCCTGAAGTTGAACACTTGTTCAAGTGAAAATCTTGGCTTCCAATTGGAATTATAGCCTTAGGCTTGTTGTCAAAATGGTATCTATATTTTAGGTGTGGAGCCGTGAGTTCTCTGCAGAGATAAATTTCGAGGACAATTGAGCAAATGAGTTTTAAAGAAGCATAAATTTATCGCAACCAAGGATGCTATATCGTTACCTAACAAAGGACCATTGTAGATTTCCACTTCACGGAACTGAAGTTCTAGACGTTCCTTGTGAAGAGCAAGGGTAACAAACCTTGCTTTGATATTTTTTTGAAGAATTATGGTCTGAACAGGCTCTTCATTTGGAGAATCCAGACTAGCCACATGACGTCCTTTCCCAAAAGCATTTTCACCATCATCTGTTAATGATAAAAGTAACCTAATATCTGCTTCAAACTGACGAGTTTCTCGGGAAAATGACTTATTCATAAGCTAAACCTAATCTCTTCCATGTATTGCCAATTCCGAAAAGGGAAGCAATCATGGATAAGCTATTAAGATGATGGATTTGCGGTAGAAAGCCATGTTTACTTACCAGCTTGAATTTTTAAACCCTTGAGGTGTTCCGGTTTGTAGCCTGAGGCAGTCACAATGCGCACCAGATGGATTTTGCATAATGCTATTAAATCAACCGACCACCATTTTATTTGTTTCGAACGCGATCCGACCCCAGTGGAGAAGGGTTTGTCTAAAATGGAACAGCAACAGTGGTTAATCGTAAAGTTACACAAAAATGTCTTTAAATAATAATTTTTTCAACAGATAAAAGCTGAAAAGACTAACTGAAATATCTTTCATGCCAGATTAGTGTGAAATACATTTATCATAAGATTATTTTAACTTAACGTAAATTTGTCCCGGTCTTTTTCTTTTTAATATTGCTGTACTCACCAAGTTTCTGATCACAGCCTCTGTATGATTCCTTTTCATTTGTCGAGGACTTTGTAGGACGCTTTCCTGCCAGGTTAACTAAAGGAAATGAACTTTTAAGTGTGAGCAATACAATCATCGAACAATAAAGCTCTGTCTAAAACTTTGTCCGAGAAACTTGATAAAAAAATCAATGATGAAAGCGTATTCTTACTTATCTTCGTTTGGAAAACCTCCACTTCACAGAGCTGTATATAATCTATATACTTCGATGGCCACATGATGACCATGTCATCTCCAGTAACTGGGTGACCGCAATCAAAGTAATTTCCTTTTCTCGCCCCATATACATTGATATTAAGGCATACTTTGGTATCTAAAAAAAAAAATAAGACATTGAAGAATTCCGTCAATTTTCAAAGTTATGTGCGCAAAAGCAGGTCGAACAATTTTTAAGCGGATTTGCCTCGTTTTCGTAATTCTTGGGGAATAAGGATGGTTCAAAAGCATGAAATTGACCCTTAAATTTTACTTTACTATTCTTGACATCGTCTATTTATTTTTTTCGCTCAGTAGTCATCCAATATCGAGTACGATAAACTCAAAGGCAATCTTGGATGATGTCATGCCCCTTGTAGCTCTCCAATAGGACACAATACATACTCTTTTAGAAGCTATCAATTAAAAAAAAAAGAACGAACGGGAAAACAACGGAAAAGATACAAAAAAAAAAAAGGAAAAGGAAAAGGAAGGAGTAATGAAAGAGGAAAACTTACCGATGTCAATTGACGTACTTTTCCATCGAAATTTGGCGTGTAATAATAAGAAAACACGCGCCACTCGAACATTTTTTCCAAGGTTCACCCTCCAGTTCCGCTGCCTACCGTTTTTGGCTTTAAAACATGTGCTTGCATCTCCGTCGATAGCAAAACGACTCGCTGCAGGGCCAAATGCCTTCTGCTTCTTTCCGATGATGTTTCCTGTACATCGAGAGTAAATGAGTAGGATACAAAAACCATGGCAGCAAATCACAGACCTCAGAGAGGTCTCTTCATTCAGCAAATGTCTTGAAAAGATCACTAACATTTAATTGCGTGGTTTAATGGGTATAGGTCACCCAAAAATGAACTATTAATTCGATTAAACGCCGCCCTCGAATAACCACCACCTTCGAATAACCGCCGCATTTTAGAGCAGAAATATCGTAAAACGTCGCCCTCGAATGAACGCCGCGTCATCACGCGCCGTTTATTCGAATAATAGACTCAAAAAGCACACAGCAGACTACTATGGCAATGATATACAGGTAGGTGGTTGATCGCTATTAACCTGGGACTCCTTCGAGTGTTACATCGAAGAAAGTATATCCAGGTACATCCAGGCACCAGATGTTTGCTGGAACAAGCTGTTCAAGGCCGCTTGCACCGAAAAGTATGATGAATGGCTGAGTACCCCGGGAATTCACAAAGAAACAGCTGCTGGAAATTTGAAAGCAACCTCGAGAAAGAAAAAATTGCTGTGGATTCTTGATTCTTTGGCAACCTACCCACAGAGGTAAACAAAAACTCTCTCTTAAACTGCACGTTGAATCTTCTCGTGGACGGGTCGAAAGACGATAAGGGTTCACTGCCTCAAGGAAGGACAGCCCTTAAATGTACCAGTTCTGATGTTGAGGAAGCATATCCGACGTTACATCTTTTGAACTCGTTTCATGGAGAGGACAGTGACATTGAAATTGAGTGAACTTTATTCCCTTTATGTATTGCATTAGTATTAACAAACAAATTGTGAAACTGAAAACGATATAGAAAATGACAAGTACTAAAACATGTTTTTGTTTTTTAAATGATAATGGGCAGTTACCATACTATTGTTGGCAAGAAATGAATTGGATTTTAAATAAACGCCGCCCTCCAATTAAAGCAGCACTCATATCACGAAAAATTTAATAAACGCCGTGACGTTTAATCAATTAAATATGGTACAATGATAAACTTTTTGACATCCTACGTGTAAGATTCATGATTCGAGTCAGTTGAAGAGTTGCTAGTCTGTTTAAGTCTATGCAGTTAGTATGACCTAGGGAGCATAATTCGGTTGTGATTAGTTAGTTGGTCACTTCAACATCGTTAATGATTAAGTGCATTATGTATGTAGTTGTTAACATCTGTTAGGAGGAATGCGTTCATTGGTTGATAAACCAAGCTTCCAAAGTCAGTTCTTGAAAGCAATTCGTGCTACCCTTAGCAACACTGAAGTGTTGTCAAAATCAGAGATGATCTGCTTCAATTGATTGCCATGGCCGTCGCTATTTAAAGCTTAAAAAAGAATATGTCAACTGTGGTTCTTACCATATGAGTTAGCGTACACTTCAACTTCACATAATCGCAGTACTGGGGCTTTAGTAGTTATCTTGACAGAATTTCCAAAGACATAGGGTTCTGAGCTACATCCATAGCTCGTCTCTTTGCCGTCAATTAGCAATTCCTCAAAGGCGCATTTCATGAAATGATTCCTGTCACCTTAACAAACAACAGTATTCCATAAAGAAAAGCAGGGAAAAAAGATGGCAGAGAAATTACGAAAAAGAGTTTCAACAGTTTGTACAAAATGAAATGCTAAATTAGAGAGTGAAGAACGATATACTTCAAAGTGATTGCCATTCGACAATTTTAGTTTAGAGTTTAATTATACCACCATCGTTCATATTTTTTTTTTCGTAACGGCTGTCAGCTAGGCATGTTCCTGTTAAAGATTATCCAATGCTAACATATCTGTTGGCCGCTTCAGAGACATATTTTCTTGATTAGCCAGTCCCACCTACTGACAATTTTATTCTTTTGCGTCTTGTGCCGGGATGTGCTTTACTCCCATCGTGTTTGCATTTAAATATTATCCTGAACCCAGGTGTTGTCATACCTACGAAAATGCCCACGTCTTTCAGGCCGGTGTTTCTTTTTTTAGTTTGCTTCTCTGCAGACTGAATTCGAACCAAAGACACAGGTTGTAAGTCACCAAGATACACAATCAGACAAGGTTTGTCTTCTGTGTGGGACCTGAAACACGTCCTAGGATTGCCATCCACTACAAACCGAGGAAAAGCCTCTTTGTGTTTACATTTCTCCTTTTCACATCCTTCAAGATTGTCGGTCGAGGAAGCAATCACTTTTTTCAGTAAGGCAAGATTCTGTTTGCTATGCCATATCTGTGGTGGCCGTCCTGATGACAGAATTAGGCGAAGTCAATTACATCCTAGTGCAACTAATTTAGTTTTCCATTAAGTGTAGAAAACAAACCATGTTTACTTTGGTTTTGTTTGACTTTGCTCTTTGATTGGTCCAGAAAACTCGCGCCACGTTCCTAAGAATGTGTCCACGAGAGCACCGGGCAGTCGTGCTACATGTCGTCTCACCGATTTCAATGAAACTTTGCCAGTTTAAAGGGTCTACCCCAAAACTTTAAAAGACAAAGTGGCTTCTGTTTTGGTTTTTTTCCGGGGGGAGATAGACCACCCCCCGGTTTTTCTAGGTTTTTCTCGGTTTTCACCAAGGAAATCGCCTCAAAATAGGTAAAATGTATGAAGCTCTCACTGCGATGGTATTTAACAAATTACTCTGAGAGTTTGCACACATATTATTACATCCTTAGTAAATTTCTGACACAAGTATCAGTCAATTTGATTTACGGCTTGTCAATCAACAGGGGGCAAATAAACGACTATGATTTTAGAGTTTTCGATTTATCCAAATATTTGACAACTTTGAGGTCAAATATCTCCCCTTGCCAGAAAGCTACAACACTAATCTTATTTCCCCTTTATAATCCATCATTTCATCTCTGAAAACCGTCAAAAAAATCTTTGGGCACTACCGCATTTTTGTCTCTGGTGCCTTTAAAAATCTGCGACTGTCATAAGTTTCTTTCAACTACACCTGTCACGCAATTCTGGCCCTAGCCGGTCACTTGACCAAATAAACCTACATTTTTTTGCTCTTCATACAAGATGATTGATCAAGAAAGCTAAAAAATTCGAAAAAGTTTCGAGATTTTTCGTAGGAATGAAAAATTTCATGTTTAGAGAGATGCATGTAGGCGAAAAATCGATGGGAAAATTGTGGCGTTTCTTTCTTATGTCGTTTATTACTTTGGAGGTTGGCTAAAATCAGCAAATAGGGCTGTTGTACAGAACAAAATATTCGTAAGTCTGTAATTTTATTGTTTATCATCATTATAGAACTGCTTGACAGGTGTCGTAGATTTTAAAATGGCATCCAAGACAAAAATACGACAGTACCCAAATATTTTTCTGATGGTGTTCAAAGATGAAATGATGGATTATAAAGGGGAATTAAGATTAGTGTTGTAGCTCTCTGACAAGGGGAGATATTTGACCTCAAAGTTGTCAAATATTTGGATGTATCGAAAGTCTAAAAGCACAGTCGTTTATTTGCTTCTGTTGATTGAAAAGCCTTAAATCAATTGACTGATACTTGTGTCAGACATTTACTAAGGATGTAATAATATTTGTGCAAACCCTCAGAGTAATTAGTTAAATACCATCGCAGTGAGAGCTTCGTACATTTTACCTATTTTGAAGCGATTTCCTTGGAGAAAACCAAGAAAAACCGGGGGTGGTCTATCTCCCCCCGGAAAAAAACCAAAACAGAAACCACTTTGTATTTTTGAGTTTTGGGTAGACCCTTTAAACTGACAAAGTTTCATTGAAATCGGTGAGATGGCATGTAGCACGACTACCCGGTGCTTTCGTGGACACACTCTTAATCAATCAGATACAAAACTAGAACCAGTCTTAGTTTGAACACTCGGGTTTCCCCGCGTTTTATGCAGTTTGCTTGTTTTTACTTTGAGCTCTAATTGACTTATTGGCTTATGGTGATGTCGTCTTTCGCTCCGATTGGCTTTTGTGATTACTTTGGTTTGAGTTTTCCGAAACTCGTGTGAAACTGCTTTTTATTATTGTTATTATTATGATTTCTATAATTATCATCATTATTGTGATGATGGCGATGTTGGTTATTGCTATTATCTATTAGCTTCCTTTTTCACCTTTAATGCATTTCTCTCCAGGTAATACATAGTTATCAATGGGAAGTTTTGTAGAACTCGATGAGACAAAACCAGGATTACACTTGCAGTAGTAAGAGCCAGGAGGAAACAGCGGACTTATGAATTTCGTGTCACATTTTGATCCATGTAAGTCGCCACATTTGTTTTTCAACTGACAAATGTCACCTGTGAAGAACAAACGACATGAATATCTGACTCACTCGCTTGCCTACCATTCTTGAAGTCTACGATATGGAAAAACAACTATGAAAACAAGAACAAAGTCAACATTCGACCAGCTAACTATGTATTTGGATTAAAATTTGGATTAAGGCATACTTAGCGAAAAAAAAGAAAAATATTTAGCGGTCTCAAAGTTCTATAGTCAGAAGCAAATTAGTCACCCACAGAGGGTAGTTCGACTGTGTTATACATGGATCCGCAATCCGGAATCAAATGATCGATGTCCGTGGATCCAGATGTTTGCTTAGATATGTTGAATCAAAATAGAAAAGAAAAGCGGTTGCTATTTAACACATTGATTTACTTATCTCTAAGTACATTTACCTTTAATGCGCACATCATCTCTGCTACATCGGAAAGTATGTTTTTTCTTCTTTTCTAACAAAGCTATTGAAACGTTATAGATATGGAACAAAGTTAACCATGCTATCAGATCTAGAGTTGATTGAAAACGGAACGATGGTTGATTAGTGATATTGATGAAACCCCCCCCCCTCTTGAAAAGCGCCAGCAAACAGAACAAAGCTGGTAAGGAATAACGGTGCAATAAGTCGTAGAGATGTCATTATATGTATTGTGTATCTAAAAAAGGGCTATGCAATAGTCTTTTGGATACCCTTTTGATCAATTAAACTAACAAAAACAACGTCACATGTCAGCATGGCTCGTACCTAGAGACATCTTTTAGGGTGATATCAACCTCCCTGTCCCCTCCTTCCTGCTTGCCCCTATCAATTAACTGTCACGTTCTCTCCACTATTGAACAAAAATTTTCTTACTTCATCATTAGGATCAGCAAACAATAGAAGGTAGAGGAAGTCTTTACTCGAGCTTAGTGGCCCACCCAGCTGGAGCTTATCCCGGTTTCTATATGGTATGAAAACTACTATAAGTATTATTAATCCCCTTTGGATAGGAATGTTGGTCCATCACGGGGTTACCCCCCGGCATTTCAATCTCCCTGACAATTCGCCGGTATCTATTTATACCCCTGGGTGGATAGGGGCAGTATGGGAGTAAAGCGTCTTGCCCAATACTACACATTGACCAGTCGTCTAGGGAATAAGGGAAATGCAATGGTTCGCTTACTTTTGTAATGAGTTTTGACCGTGACCACTTCGCTGCCTTGAGCCCTGTCAACAGCTCCACTGATGTACTTTTGTTCACTTTTGCCTCCATTTGACTCACATTTATCCGTACGGCTGTCTCTACTCCGCTTCACAGGGATCAGTACTGCAGCGTTAAAAGTGAGGCTTCCTGTTCTTGGTGGAAGATCGATGACGAGGTCTTTCCTATCCACTCTTACATTCCGACGAGGATTCGACAAACTGATCTCAGCGGAGACCTCGTGTGGTGAATGATCTCTAAACTTATATTGTCCTTGCTCCAGCATCTCTTTATCGTTCCCATTGTTATTAACAAGGTACTTTATGTTTTTGTCCATTGCATCAGCTAAAGATGAATAACAAAACTATACTAGTGTAGATGTGAATTGATAGGAGAGAATTTACACATTCAGCTGCAATTACAAAATTCTGGTGGCACTTACCATTCAAGAAGACCTGTACGTCACATAGTTGGAAGTAGTCTTTTGCTGCAATAAAGACATATCTTCCCAGCATTGGCTCAGCACAACTGAACGAGGTGCGCGTAAATTTCGGGATGCGACGACTTTTGAGACACAATGGGTTGGACGTAAGATCAGCATCTGTATTCCCTATAAAAACGTATAATTTAAGCTGTAGCCATGGCTCATCCATTCCATTTATGAATCTTTTTTCTTTCTGTATTTTGATTCGTTTTTTCATTGATTTATCAATAGTTTATCACAAACCTTGGGTGGCTAAGATTAGGGAACCTTTGAAACCGCAACAGTTACGTGTGGTATGAACATTCTTTGAATTTTCACTCTAAAACAGTTCGAAGACATCTATGCATATCTGAATGGTCTCTTACCTATTCTAATGTCAATGTTTGATAGATCTTTTTTACTCTTGATGCGAACGTTTTCCACCCATAGATTCTTCCCTAAATCGATTTGCAACCAAGGGTTTTTGAACTTTCTTAAACTTTCAAAGCAGGTTTCTTTCATGCCGAATTTACTGTCGTCCACCGCTTCATGAGCGTATCCGTAAGATTGATGGCTTCTCAAATTGGTTTGTACTGGTCTTTTGTAAGCCACGTTTATGTCTAAATGTAAAAATGAGAAAGTGTTGTGAGTATTCATGCTCTGCATTTTCTTCTTAAGCTTTTCACACACGATGGAGACAGCGTAATTGTTACCACAAATTGTTACCACAAAGTCACATATACTGAGATATTTTTGGTAATGTAAGAAGTTATCAAGCTGGGACTATTTCTGAAATGGGAAAAAAACGAGTGCTTTACAACTACGACATAAAAGGAATTCTCCTACCTTCCCCATCTCCTAGCAAGTGAATTTTGATTAAATTCAAGTCGACCAGATTCGTATGTTGAAAAAATTTACGAATCAATTACGACAGGACCTAAATGTGATAATATTTTGGACTGTGTTTATTATCCTACCTTCGGAACTTGCTGTTTGCAAAAATTGTAGCAACACGAGACATAAAATACCAATGACAGTTGCTTTCTTCATTACAGCACGACCTGTGTTTGAAAAACCGCTACATCTTCTCGATATGAACAACATCGGGCAATTGATTTTTCTGAACTTTTTCTATCATCTCTTTTCAGAAGCCAGAATTGCTGATTATGACGTCGATATGTAATTTAATGCTCTAATTATACACGAGCACGCGCCATCAGCAAAGCACCAATGGCGCCAATTTCTAAAATGCTAAATAAGGGAACGGAATTTAGGTTTTGAGGTTTCTTCGTGGTTTGACTGATTACAACTTGCTTTGGTTTCAGTTTTGCCTCACGGTGAGATAAAATAATGTGTTCGAGACTCTTCAAAAAGCGTAATAGAGCGCGATTGGTTGTCGAATGCGTTCAAGCATTAGAGTCACAGCTCTTCTGAAAGCCGAGAAAATCATCCTTTAATTTTGAATCTACAAAATTTTTTTATTGAGCAAAAAAGGAAGGGTTAGCTCTCAGAGCCCAAAAGTGTGCAATTTTTATTGTTTTAGTATTTATGTATTTATATCTCAGTTAAATAGGGAATCTCCGAGAAAATTCGTAGCGCGTCAGAAGGAGCGATGACCTTTCTTCAAATCTCAATCAATTTACAATTCTTTATAAAGGTCCAAAAATTTGAAACTCTCCTCCTGTTTCAGTCACCCGTTCTTCAAATCTTGTTAGGTTTAAGACCAATTGCAAGAGTATGTACTTAATAAGTAATCACTGAATTAGCCAAGCCCCACATTCGCAGCTCTTAATCTTTTTTAACATATTGTTGTAAACGAGGTGGCCTCACCCATAAGCCGGTGGCTTCCTTTCTATAAAATAATTATGATACTGTAGATATATTTTTTATATTGTTAAAAAGGAAAATAAAATGCCGCCGATGATGATCATGGAATCACGTTTTTTTAGGTGGCAAGTCTATAACCTGTCTTTCATTGTGCTCAATTGAGTGAATTATAATTTTACTTGAGTTACAACGTTGCATGTAACATGTACTGTTATCTGGATTACATTAAATGCTCAGGCTCAAGCTTTCAACTGATGTGTTCTTACAAATATTGATATCTAGTCTACACAGAGAACTTTGATAAAAGCAATTGGTCATAGGGACCATCAGATATACGAGGCGCCGTTTACAAGGTAGGAATCTGGTGAAGCAAGGATCCGCTTAACAAGGTCTGAAATTATTGGGCACTCTTCTCTTTCAATCGTGTTTTTATTTTGACCTTCCTCCACTCTTTAATATTAAGAACACATAGATTTAGAGTAGCTTTTTGTATTTCGACACATGAAGTTTAAAAATAACAATTGGAGAACATGTGTGCCTTAAATTGATTGATTAAAAATGAAAATGATAGGGTTATGCAGACCATGTCCTGCTTTTTATCATCCTCTGCCAGGGGATGATAAAAGGCAGGACATGTGACAATGGACATGGACATGTACCATTGTTCTTGGTTCACAGCCTTCAGCTCTTCAAGTACCGACCGCGATTCCTGCTAAGCGTCGTCGCCAGGTGACTGAGTAGGATGAAGAAAACGAAATGTAGTTTTGGAATTTTTTTTTTGATTTGCTCAGAGCTTATCCATGTCTTTGGATCGGGGGTTTATCTCCTGGTAGATTCAAAGCTTTGGTATTGAGGATAAATTTTTCATCACTTTTCGTTGATGGGCGAACACCTTTGTACTCGCAGTTCTTTAAAATGTGTACGATTTGAGAACAGCGATCGAAAATAAAATTAATCTTTGAATCGATTTGAAACCTTGTGTGACAAGTTGACGTCTCACAAGCCAATCCGACGAGAGCATTACGCAAGACGTGTTACGAAACCGCTTCTCTGTTTGCTTCGCTTTTCCCACCTCACGAGAAGTGCATGAAAACGATTAAGGTAGTTGGATAATATATAACTTAATGAAAGTTCAGTAAATGGTTTGAACCCGGGGGTTCTTAGTCCGGTTTGTTTAAACTGATATCGATCGGTCAGTTTTGCCGTAACGTTATTGGCTGTAAGACTCAGAGAGGTGTAGGTCGGTCGTGATTGGTCGGTCTCGATCTGGCTTACCAGGCAGTCTAGGAAAGGTAGGTTACTATTTTCTTCGACCTCTCTAGTATACTGTATGTCAGTGTTTTGTCCATTGAGGTGGTCGTGGAATGCGTCGATTTCGAGTATTAGTTGAGCTAACAAGCCAACTGGGAGCTGGTCATAAAGTTGGTTCCAAATAAACCCGTAAAGTGATGAATTAACGACTGCGAATATGTGAAAGTCATATATTTGAACTGCGGATAAAGACATGAATATGCAGTAGTGAAAATAAGGCTTGAAAAAAATTCAGACCTGTTAACTTAGTTGGTGGAGCACTGCACCGGTATCGCAGGGGTCATGGGTTCAAAGTAATGCAAAGATCGTCTAAATATTCACGTCTTTATCCGCAGTTCAAATATATGACTTTCATATATTAGAGTCGACTATCGGTGAAATATCATGTCGACAGGTAATGAAATATCAATTTGGGATTATTGGCTGATTAAATTCCAAATTCCCCAAACTAACGCCAATTAAATTGTATGGCAGACAGTAAGGAGAATAACTCATGAAATCGTGAGAGGTAAAGGTTAAAACACATGGTAATCATATGTACCAGAAAGTCAGCCAATAGATACAACTTTATACACCAGTAAAGTGTTCTTATGTAGAATGAAGTTTCAAACTCACAGAAATCATGTTGACCTCATGATAAAGATTTTAGTGAAAGAACTGTTTAATATCTCTTTCCAAGGATGAAAAGAGAATGCGATTCATGAATTCTAAAATAGTAAATGCCAAAAACTTAAAGATGGATATAAATAAACAAGGTAAGAGTGTTATGTTAGAGTTTTTTTTGCAAATTGTAGTGATTTATGCTAGTAAACGGTGGCGACAAGTAGGCACACCATGTATATTTCATAGTCGCTAGCAAGTAAATTTTGATGGACTTTGAGTTCGTTTCAAGATAAAACAATTCAAATACACAAGGAAATTTTTACAGTAACTTTTTAACCATTCTTTTGTCTTTCATATCGGTCATCGTTAAAACTGTCTTTGTTTTGATGCTACCGTTCGACATAGGAAAAGTATGTCGGGCAAAAATATTCACCAAAAAATAAATATTACTTTGTAGCTTCAATAATGACAGGGGATTAAGTTTAGATGATAAAAGAAAGGATTCTGTTAACAGAAATACCGGAGGTCAAGTATATTCGTTACATGAGGTCACACAACTTGGGTAATATTCACGGTGAAAATTTATTTTGCATATTTGAGCGATCAAACGAAAAAAATCATTTCTCGAAAACTAAAATAAATTTTCACAAAAAAAACTACACCACAATTATTAGGAGGTATTGGGCTACAAAATATGAAAGTAGGAGGGAAAGCAAATTTTGGGTGACTTGTCGCTGTTTGTCTGATGCATGCTGACATTAGCTCTCAAGATCTTAACTTCGCTAAAGCAAACCGCTGAATTTTTTAATGCGTTGGGCAAGATTTACAAAGCCTTCTCATCCCATGAAAAGTACCAGGCGTACAGGCTGTCTAGTATTCAAGAGGCGGTCGGGCTGGTCAGCGACACTCTTCAGTTACTGTGGAGGAATGAATCTTCTTCTGAATCTAATTAAAGTAAAGAACAAATTGAGAAAAGTGGTTATCGAACGTGGAAGTACTCTAGACCACGACCGGTTTAGACAAGCAAGACGCGAGGTTAAAGCAATGATTAAGATGAAGAAAAAGCAATATGCAGCTAAACTGAAGGATTCGCTTCTCACTAATACCAGACGCTTCTGGTCTTTAGTTTAATCTATGACCAAACAAAACCGGTCACCTGGTTTCTTGAGGGATGGTCAACGCTTTGTCACGAACAACAAAGAGAAAGCAGACTTACTTAACAACTTTTTTCAATCAGTATTCAGTCCTAACGATGGTACTTCTGAATCTTACCAAGGGCCATCTACCATACCGGTTCATCATTTAAGTGAAATCCGCCTTACAATTTCAGAGGTAATTAAAGTTCTGGCAGACATTGATGTAAACAAAGCACATGGCCCCGACAACATTCCTGGTAGATTGCTGAAGGAAACTGCACCTGAAATTGCCTCTCCCATCTGCCGTTTGTTTAACCTATCGTTGTCTCTCGGCAAGTTTCCCGATCAGTGGAAATTAGTTAATGTATGTCCTGTCTACAAATCCGATGATCCCACATTACCCAAAAACTACCGCCCAATTTCATTACTGTGCATTATATCCAAATGCCTAGAAAGATGTGTCTTTAACAACTGCTATACCCTCATCTCGCCACAACTATACCATCTGCAACATGGTTTTCTTAGAAGAAGGTCCACTGTTACTCAGCTCCTCCAGGTCTATCACGAAGTGATTCAAACCTTAGCCAAAGGCAAGGAGATTGACATAGCTTATTTGGACTTCTTCTAAAGCATTCGACAAAGTCCCTCATTGTGCCTTGCTGAATAAGCTATCTCGATTCGGAATACCTGGGCAGCAAATAAACTGGTTTCAGAGCTATCTTTCTGATAGATATCAACGAGCAGCACTACAAGGCACCTATTCCGACTCGTTACAAGTTTTGTCCTGTGTTCTTCCAAGTCGTGAGGGTGTAAGTTAATGAACCTATTCTTAAATTGACTCGGTTGTAATTAATATAATGTGATAATTATTGCTAGTTTTATTACTACTTTCACGATTATAATTATTACTACTATTTTGTTAATATTTATTGGGGTTGAATATCAATTGGGACATCGTCCTGTTTTCTTCTCCAATTGCCGATACTATTCTGTACGTGTAACAAATTTCAATAAAGTTAAAGTTAAATGAAACTTCTATCTGAAGCGAGGTTACCAATACACCAAAAACCCTCAAAGGCCCACACGGTAACGTGGCATCTAAGACTGTTGTGTCGATTGAAATACTTAAATACGGCCTTGGAAACCTCTAGTGAGTCTCAGAATAATACGGATATGACTTTCTTAACCTGTTGAGTTGTATGAAACTAGACGTGGAGAATATTCACTCGGTTGTGCATCACAAAGATCCACTTTGCACAGTTCTGAACTACGCGAGAAACTTTGGAAACGCAGCTAAGGAAGGCTTAAAGAGGACAACCCATTGGGCGGCGTACTATTTTACAAATCTGAAGTCTTGGTATGCTGTGCCCGAACGTGCTATGATTCTGTCAGCCATACCAGTAATTCAACCGTTACCAACTGTACCGATGGCACCTTAGAGCGCACAGACGATGAGGGACTAAGCGCAAACATTTGGTGCTTCAGTGCGTCAGCGTTCTGTCAGACAGGAGACAACAATGTAAAGAGCTGGAACTCTCCCATCGTACCTCTATCAGAGGAAAATTCAGCCGGATGAGCCGGTCAGCCTCGAACGCTCTGACCTCGAGGAGCAGCAAGAAAAAGACCAAGAGGAAGATGGCATGTTAGAGTACGAATCCCCAAGCAGTGATGAAGAATCGGCAGACGACGAGACCGCATGTAATGCTGGCGAGATTCCATCTTTAGAACGAGAAGCGAATATTCTCCTCGGAAGAGTTTCTCGCTTCGGAAGAAGTATTCGCTTCAACAGCAGAATTTTGCTCAGTTAATTTTTCTTTATTTTCCTTGTTATGGGACTATGGGACTTCCGTCATCTTTTGTTTTTTTATGCTTTTGTTAACATTGCTATACGTTTCTTTGATACTGACCTGTCTCTACGCTTTTCCGTCACCGAAGTTAAACAGAAGGAAGTCAACGGATCAATACTGATTGAGAAAATCATTACCCACCGAAAAGGCCCCTTTAATGTCTTCAAATATATGAAAATCATGCATATGTGAACTGCGGTTTAAGAAATGATTACATTACGGCTTCAACACGGAGAAAGTGTGTAATTAAGAATTCCGGTTTTAATCGACACATGCGCAATGAGTCGCTAGAATTACCCAGGGACACTGGACATCACTAAGTATCCTAGCGACCGATTGCAGATTCATCAAAAACAAGTTGACCGGCTCTATCATTCGCAAACCTGTTTTGATCGCATGAGCTAAACGCTCGGTTAACTTAAAACGTGATGGCGCTTCCACAAGCTGTGGGCTTCATAGCCGAAGCAGTCGATGAAGAAGGAGTTTAGTGTGCGTGCATTGTTGAAGAAGTAGACGATGATCACGTGAAAGCGATCCTCGCAGTTATGAATACTATTTAACTGGTAGTAAAAATAAGGCCTGAAAAAAATTCAGGCTCTTACAGGATTTCAACCCATCAACTCTGCGATACAGGTGCAGCCCTCTACAAACTGAGCTAACAAGTCAACTGGAAGCTAGTCATTATGTTGGTTTTAAATAAACCCTCCAAGTGGTGAATAAATGACTGAAAAAAACAACACATCAACGAAAGAGTGCGATTCTTTAAATGAATAGAGTAAATTCTGCGATTGTTAACTGACGACAGAAAGAGGTAAAAACTTGTTCACGCCGTTCACCATCATTTGAAAACGCTAGGCAAAACAAAATCCGTTAAGTAACTTCTTTTCCCTTAACACCACGACTGTGTTAAACTCTTAAAACGATAGGAGAAGAAATAACTTGAAGAATACGAACACTTCGAAATGTTATTCGAGGGAGGAACCGGCGCGAGGGTTTTTAGGCGATGAATGCCACAGTCATTGTTTTACCGAAACGCGATTTGAATTATATACTGAAACGATGATTGGTAAAAAAAGGTTTGAATTTTTCTGCGCCTTAGCGTAAGAGAAAACCCAGACAAGAAACTACTCACCTCTTCCTCTTTCCCGGATCCTTTGTGGTGCGCTTCTCTTTGTTGATGACCTCTTTTGAGTCTGTTTTCAGAAGCGTCTCTGTGTTTCCTTCTCGCACTGCTCTTCACTAGATATTCACCTTTTTACTTTCTTGTTCTCTTTCGCGTTCCTCTCGCCGTATTCTGCCTATTTGGGCTTCCTTTCTTGCGCGTTTTACTCGACTCGCTTTACTCCTTTTACTTCTTGCTTGCTTTACTCGCTCTGTCTCTTTCTTTCCAGCCTATTTTCACTCAACACTCTCTCTCCAAGAACTTGAATTATAACAATTTCCTCCAATTGACAAAGCTTTAGCTCTGCAGTTATTGTTACTTTGTGAGTTGATTAGAAATTGCAAAATACTGAGAATTACTGTTTAACTACAACATCACTAGTTTGATCTCCCGCTCAAAACGCGGGTTGCAAATTATTTGCTCTCGTGTAATTTCTAACCGCGTGCCAGTGTTATGGGTAATTGTTGTTGTAAATATAAGCTTCTAAAAATCTCCAGACTGCTTTGTCGTGCTGACATGCATACCATAGAACTTTCTCGAGCATTCCAACAAGTCACGTAGTTATTGTTTAATACTACTGAAATATTTTATTTATTTTATTTTATTAGGTTCGCCAACTTAATATTAAATATACATAAACAAAACAAAAAATGTCAATGGTACAATACAGGCAGGGACTCCGCAACAGCGTACGCCAATTACTGCGGGCCCGGAACACGTAAAATTGCAATAAAAATTAATGAGTAGTTAGTAGCAACAATCAATGTTTCTTGTCAGATTACGGGCTTTGTTGCAGCTTGGACACATAGACTTAAATGAGCGAGGATTTTCAGGGTCATATGATTTACAGAGTGATTGCTTATAGTAACTGGGTAGGTGTTCCTTGAATGAAATGAAAGAGATAGTTACGGAAAGACCAATGTCATCAGTTAGAGCGTTCCATATTCTCACTGTTCGGATGAAAAAGACCTCTGATATGAAGTTTTTTCACATTTTTTGGGAACAAATAGAGTTACATTTGTGTTGCTACTGGATCTAGTTGCTCTTTAGAGGGTGCTTCTTGTGGGGATTACCGTGGGCTAACCTTAACTAGCCCAGTCACAGACTTAAAGAAAAAAACCATATCTAGATACTCATGCCAATAGGACACGGGGAGATGGGTCATTTAATCAGTCTGTCTTTATAGGATTCCTCGCAGAAGAAAGGCAAGTTGAGGTTGTATTTTGGAGCTCGGCGCTGAATCCGTTCTATCTTACGGATCAATTCTTTCGACTGGGGCAACCACACTTGGTGGCATAGCCGAGATGTGACCTGACTAGCGTGTGGTCGATGACACGTCTCACTGATTCATTCTTGATAGACCTGGTTTTACGTCTCACAAACCCCAGTATCCTGTTTGACTTTGCACACTGGTCGCACACTTGTTTGTTCCACAATAGCTTATCGGAGATGATGATCCCAAGATCCTTTTCTGCGCTGGTAACGCCAAGAGGAACTTCGTTTATGTGGTACATGTTAGACACAGGATTGTCTTTCCGGGTAATTCGCTGTGCCTTGCACTTAGATTCGTTGAACATCAGGCCGGCCGAGGACGACTAAGTGGCGAGGCTGCCTAGGTCATCCTGTAGTATTGCAGCGTCAGTTGGTGACTTTATGGACTTGAAGATCTTGGTATCATCAGAAAAGGCAGAGACGTGGCTAGATTTTACAGCACCAGGGAGAGAATTCGCACATAGGAGAAATAGCATGGGGCCCAATATGGACCCCTGATGGACTCCTGATGTCACTGGAAGAGCCTGCGAGTTCACTCCGAGTGCCGTTACCCTCTGCATCCGATCGTGGAGGTAGGACTACAGTCAGGCCAGAAGCTTTCCGCTGAAACCGTAATCACGCAGCTTCCTGAGTAGTTTGTAATGACTCACTTTATCAAAAGCCTTCGACATATCAAGGCAGATAATATCAACCTAGCCCCCGTTGTCGAGTTGGGAGCCGATATAGTCGAGTAACTCTACCAACTGCGTCACGCACGACCGCCCTGTTATGAAACCGTATTGTGAGCTATCGATCAGACTGTACACGTGGTCTTTGATTGAATCTAACGCGCAGCGCTCTATCACCTTGGAAACCAGGCACAGTAACGAGATTGGCCTGTAGTTCTCGGCATATTCTTTATTATCCTTCTGAGAGACTTATTGGATAGTTCGCATAAAGAGGGAGCGATCTCATATGCTGTCTCCTTTAAAATCCTAGCCGGAATTTCACTAGGACTGGTAGCTTTACTCGCGTCAAGGTTGGCCAGTACATCCAAGACCTGAGTGACTGTGAGAGTCAGGTCTGATTACGTCTGATCAACATTAGGCCCAGCGTACTCCTCGTCAGCTGAATTGCAAGTGACAGGGTCAAATTTAAATACCGACACGAAGTGCTGATTGGACTGTTCAACGATTTCAGTAGGCGATGATGCTTGACTTCTACTTCCGACGTCTGCTGATTCACCGCTGGGATCTGTTGCCATGCAGATAATTTCAGGAGTACCCCGATGTTTTGATTTCAGTTTGAATGTTGACCAAAAATGTATCGGATTGCACTTCAATTGCAACTCCATTCCCGAGAGGAACGAGTCACGAGCCTCGTGCAGAATTCGTTTGACCTCGGAACGCAAGTCAGTCCTCAAACTTAACCTTTAACTAGCTTGATGGAGATGATATGAGTTTCTTACGCATGGATTCCTTTTTCTTTATAGGGTTAATATAGGCCCGATTATCCAGGGTACTGGATACCTTCCCTTGAGTTTTTTCTTCGGGATATAATCGGCCACACTCGCTAAGAAGGTGTCTTTCCAGCTATGTCAGTCCCTATCTATTTCAAGGTCTACAGTGAATATTGCATTGGACAAGTTCGCGGTTTGAAGTGAAGAACGGAGCCCGTCGAAATCTCCTCTAGCGTAATCATAGACAAAGCCGCCGGAGTTTTGATGGCGCCTTGACGGCAGAGGAGAGTTCCAATGAGACAATACAATGATCGGTCAACGTTTCTGCCTCATTAGGTTCCAACACTTCCGTCACGCTCACTTGATCTGTTATGCTCGAGATCATTAAATCGAGGACATTGTTTCCCCGTGTCGGGGAACTATCGTGTTGGATTAGAAAGTGGTCATTGAGAATGTCAACAAACCGCTGTTCGTTAGCACCGATTGAAGAATCAGGACAATCCCATGGGACCTTAGGAAGATTCAAGTCTCCACAGATTAGCATATTATCAAACTTGCTGCAGGTTTCATCAAGAAATCAAACAAGTCCATCCAGCTGAAATCGACATAAGGCGGCCTGTAACGAACAGAGTAAAAACCTCTGGCTGGAATCAGTTTCTACTACCGTAGATACAATTTCTACGTCCGAAACAGATGGAACATACTCGTGTATTGATGAAAATAAATCAGACTTGATTGCAATCCAAACCCCCACGGCCTCGCTTGTTGATACGATCCTTCCGGTAGATTGTGTAACCGGCGTGTAACAGCTCTGAGTCCAGAACTTTACTTCCTAGCCAAGTTTCGTTTACATACATCACGCCAGCATCCTCAGCATACACGAGGTCTTGAAACTGGTGTAGGTTCCAAATCGTACTATCGCCATCGGTGTTTCTGTGGACGTTGATCAGACTACGCACGTTTAGCAGGATGTTCTTGATCTTGGGGCTCTCCTTATCCTTATCTCCTTGTCTGGCGAAACGTGAATGTTTCCGGTCCCGGCTGATTAGCTATATTACCACACAGGAGTAGGAGACCATTAAGGTATCCGTTGATGGTAGTGTACTTTCGCACGGATCGAGTAAAGTGCCCTCGGTCTCTTCCCTGTATATCTGATCTAGGCTTAAAAAGCCGCTAACTCAGGCTTGCGAAACCCCCAAAACTTGGGGAAAGCATATAGAAGATTGGAAATTAACGTCTCTTAACTGAATAAGAGAGTAATGGAGCGATAACGCTTCACGAAATACAGCAAGAAAGACCGAGCGGAGAGAAACACACCCAGAAAGACCGAGCGGAGAGAAACACACCCTGCCGCTATTATGCATTATGCATTTCGAAAATGCATAATAATATAATTAATAGTTCTTTGTAAGCCTCTAGGAGGTTCCAGAACACTTTGTGAAATATATATATATATATATATATATATATATATATAAATACTCGCTTATGTAATAGCAGTTGATGTTGTCTGAGCGAGACCTTTTTGAAAGCAATACCGAGAGAGAGTTACTGCGGAAGATTGCTTATTTCGAGGAACTTTGGAAACAGCAAGGGCATTGTGTTAGAGGTGAGCTGGGATATAAACTGTGGGCTTAATTAAGTTTATTTACGATAAGTAAAGTACTACCTTTAGGAGTCGCTCCTTATTAAGAATATCACTGGTTGTTTAATAAAGTAGTTGAGTTTATAGGATTGTAGTGTTTTTCTGTCGGTTAGATTATGCCGTAACAGCTAGCGGTACGCTGCACTAGAGCTCAGCAGTCGAGTATGCGCACTTCATTGTCATCTGCCGGTGTCTCCTGGCGCACACTAATGGGGTATCCAAGTTACACACGCAATCGCGCCTGCGCATTCCTTCTAACTCGCCCTTCCATTACGTAATCGCTAAGGTAGTGCCCGCGGTACAGTTGGCCGTGCATGCTAAAAGTTGCACCTTGTACAGACGGACGTTCGTAAGTTCTTGATGTTTGTTTCTAAGTTCCTTTGAAAGGAGGTTGTAACGATCTCGGCCTGCCCGCTTGTCAACTTCAAAGTACACTCGCTGAATTTTGTTCAAGTTTTCGGCGACCTCTTCCTACTCAGTTCCTCTTTCCACTGTTCTCTTTTTCGTCCAAGTAAAGGGATCTACAACCAATATTTCTCTGCATAACATCTCGTCGTGTACAGTATTCCACATCATTGGCTTCCTGAGGATTATAATCAAAATAAATTCTTGAATAAAACGAAACATGTGAATCCGGACTGAAATATTTAGTATAGGTAATCACATGATTTCGAGTGCAATTTGGAATAAATAAGCACGAGTAAATTTTTTTAAAGACTAATAAAATTGCGCGAGCCCGTAGGGCGAGTGCAATTTGTGGTCTTTGAAAAAATTAACAAGTGCTTGTTTATTCCAAATTGTACGAGAAAAATCATGTGATTACGTGTTAACAATATACATGGAAAAATACGAGATGGCTTATCATAATTAAACATAAGCAAAGCGCGCATCAAGCGCAAAAATAATGTATTCAAACCGTGCGTTCGGTCAAAACAACCGCGTACGATCAAAACAATAATAAATTATAATTATGATTATGCAATGATATCCTCACATCTTTTAAGGTGCAAAAAAATTCAAAGTCCGGCTAAACAGTTCAAGGAATTGTTCAGTCTGTGTCCGAATCACTTTCGATGAAATGGAAACGTCGTTTCCGAGGTTTAATCATGTTTGTTTTTAATTTCGGCGTTGGATCGCTCGAGCAAAGTGTTAAGCTGGGTCGGCTCTGCATTTTCGATTTCCTCGGCAATTCCCTTCTCTAAACACCACTTTTTCCAAACTGACAACCAAAAAGCAGTGCTTTTTACATTGTTTTCGTTGTTTAAACTGTTTTTCAGCTGCGGTGGCAAAAGAAAGCCTACTTAAAACGCCGGCCATTGTTTCGCTCGCAAATTTGCAAATTTTCAAATTTTGCTGCGACATCCAAGGCTCGCATTTGATTGGCTATCTGTGAGTTTCTTTGATTATTGACCAATCAGAATGTCTGATTTCTTTCTTTCTTTGCACTGAATTAACCCTCTTCTGTACAGAATTAACTCTCTTCTTCACTGAATTACCTGAAAACTGCATTTGTTATAACCAATCAAAACTGAGTAATTTTTCCATGTATATTATTAATTACAGTATAACTTAGCAAGAGGTAAACAACAATTATCGAATTGTCTAAATTTTACTTAAAATCAATTTATCCTTCCGTTTTCTTCTCTCTAATCGATTTGAACACTTTACTACTATAAGAGTTCTTCAACTTTTAATATCTACACTGATTTACTTTTCCTCGCAGTCGTTAACGTTTGCGCGGGAGCATCCATAGTGGCGACTTAAAAAACAAACAAATACACAATGACTACATTTATAAATATTTTTTCCTATTTGAAGTAATTTACAATAAAAAAAGAAAAATATGATGTTTATAAACATCACCATCAGAATATCTGAAAATGGAATCAACCACAACGTTTTTCAAGTCAAAACAAGATACAAAATACTAACGTTCTCGCCACGACGGCGAAGCTCACTAAATGGCGTCCTCGACGAGACCACGACGGCAAACACGTTAGACAGGAGCTCTCGTGCACATGCTTACTAACACGAATTTACTTCTAGTAGCCGTCTTGGTTCCTCCCGTCCTGCTATCTTAAGGCCCCTAATGTCTTTAGCTAAGAGATTTTTCACATTTGCCCGTGAAGCTTCAGTAAACTCCATTATTTAAACATTTACAACGGATTTTCATTGCACTTTTGGGGTCCAAGATGTAACCCTTGTTTTCTAACTCATGAAAAAGTTCTATTGTTTCAATATCTAGAGGTATTTTGTCGGCCCTCAGAAGAGCTCTGCGCTTGTACACAACGCTATCAAAGTGTCCTGAACATATATGGGCTACTATCTCGCCGTAAGGCATTACTGAAAACGAATCAAGTCACATAATTATAGACAGCGAAACTGTGGACAAACCTACGAAAGCTAAATCTCATCGTCTCTAACGCCTATTTAGCATCGAGTATAGAATCGATCCTCGCATGAACACTACTGAAATAAGGCCTGAAAAAAATTCAGGCTCATACGGAATTTGAACCCATGACCTTTGCGGCACAGGTGCGGCGTTCTACGAACTGCGCTAACAAGCCAACTAGGAGCTGATCATTATGTTGGATCCAAATAAACCTTCCAAGTGGTGAATAATGGCTGTAAATATATGAAAACCATGTATGTGCGCTGCGGTTAAAACGAATACTGATAGAATCGATCATAATCAGCATTTCTGGTCTACGAAAAACACATTTCAGTAAGAATTCTGCAAAATCAATGGCCTGATGTAGTTCATACCGAGAAGATGTAGCGAGCTCCGAACACAGATCGTGCTGCAATGAAACAAGCAACTGTCATTGACATTTTATGTCTCATGTTGCTACAAGTTTTGAAAACAGCAGGTTCCAAAGGTAAGATGATCAACACACTCCGAGAAATTATCACAATTAAGTCCTACCGTGATTGATTAGTTGATTTTTTTCTACATACAAATCTGGTCGAGTTAGATTGCAGAAAAAAGTGAGAAAATTCACTAGCTGCGGAAGGGAGGATGAATCTTTTTATGTCGTGGTTGTTGAGCGCTTCTGTTTTGTTTTTCAGTCTTTTTTTAAGAAATAGTTGTGATACAAACCTTGCTGCTTTTCAAGTATAAATTACTTTGTTATCATGCTAACCAGATACTAGTCTCTATAACAGCAAAGTCACCTTCAGCCTCACTCCAAAATTAAAGGCTTAGCAACTAAGAAGACAACTGTAAAATTGCTTATTAATTCAAATGAAATCAATTCTTTGATTTTGCATTTGATTAAAATTATTTACTAGATATACAAATTTTAGCGTTATAGTATAAACTGGGAAGCTAAGTTAACCAGACATTTTCTTGTTAGCTCCTGGCACATTTAAAGGTCTGGGTGGCAGCAGTTAAGCAAAGAGATAAAAATAGACAGTGATGGAAGTTAGTTTAACTGTACTAATTGTAGAGGAAGGTTGCTTAATTTCTTCTTTTTCTGACAATATATAGATAACATTTGACTTTCTTTGAAAATACATCTACACTTGAGTCTTTTTAAGAGCGTGGAAGGTCATTTGAAATATCGATTGCCATAAAAGAAATTTGATTGTTTACCTACATTAGTTCGCACCTGAGTGCTGTAGGAATTTTGCTTAGCTCATATCTACTGTTGCAGACCTATAGGTTGTTAGCATATCAAAACATGTTGTCAATTACTTTGGACAGAAGACTTTTATACGATAGAATTATTACAAGAATTTTTGAACTTGAAAATGATTTACTGTTGAGAGATTAATATCATCTGTTAAGAGGCGTTGTACATTCATCAAGAATTGGGGACTCTCTCTTTCTTCACAAGATATCTTAGGAGAAAAAAATTAATCTTGCACCACGATTTTGTTGCACTTGAATTTTCTCTATGTGTGTCCTGTATATGCTGCCCTGGGTTGATGTGGCATAAGAAATACACGGATTGATTAGGTTATGACATATTTATTCCAGTAGTAAGAGATATGCCAAAGCAGACAAATGAGATGCGATATTTCCAAGTTAAATTTTCGTCAGTGTGAAGCATAGGTACTTTAGATATTGTTTGCGTTCCAGCGTGTAAAAGGAGCCGTCAATATTGCTTATTTTTTTTAGCCGATCACAACTTTTCCTTGCGGATTTTATAATAATAAAATTATTTTACGCATGCCGTTTTTAATCCAGAGATGTCTCCAATTTGTTTTTGGGTAAAAAAATTAAGAGGGCTTTCGCACCAGTGTAACTATTTGTTTAAATCGTAAACTATTGAACAGTTCTGCTTGAACTGAAATAGTAAAAAAATTGTTTCATCTGATAATAGCAGACTTCGCCAAGGAGTTTTTACAAGAAGCGTAGATAAGTTTCCTTATATACACGTAGTAATTACGATGTCTATCACACTTAATTAAGCTTAAAACGTTTTTTTAAATATATATGTAGGAAATAGAGACGCTGATCTTACGTCCAACCCATTCTGTCTCAAAGGTCTGTTCATCTCGATAACGCCCATCTTGTTCAGCTGTGCTGAGCCAATGTTGGGAAGATATATGTTTATCGTTGCAAGAAGAGTACTTCAAACTATGTGACGTACAGGTCTTTCTGAATGGTAAGTTCTACCAAAGTTTTGCAGTTGCAAGTGAATGCGTCAATTTGTCTTATCAATTAACAGCTGTATTAGTATATGAATTTCGTAATAGACCTTGGAGTCCGTGGAGTCCGTGGAGTCTTTGTGGCTCAGTGGTCGAGCATCGGCGCGCGAAATCCGAAGGTCTGGCGTTTGACTCCTCAAAGGGACTCAGAATTTTTTTTTTATCCCATGTTCGTAACGAGACGAAAAACAACTTTCTCTATTTCTTTATCGAGCTCAAAACTTACCACCTCTCTTATCATCTCTCTGAATTCGAAGGTCTGAAGTTCAAATCCTCATGGAGACGAAAGAACATCTATACTAGTAATGTACTAGTATTCATCTCCGGCTGATGCGACGGACACAAATATAAAGTACCTTTTTGGTATCTACCATTCCGATAAGGGATTGCTGAAGAAAGGAAAATATGACTTGAAACATCCTTCGCCAGGCAACTACGTTAAGATCGTTTTGTTAAATCGCACAATAAAAATGCTGACGTAAAGTTGCTTTAGTTTGTTTGAAGCATTAAAAGAGTAACGAGAAGACTATTGCATAGGTTTTTTTGCACATACAAGGTACATATAATGACACCTTGACGACTTATAGCGCTGTTTTCCCTCACATGCCATCGGATCCTGCTTTCTTTTTGGTAGTGTTATTCAAGGGAGGACGGGGCTGGTCTGAGAACACTCGACCTTGAGCGGATAATCTTGGAGGAGTTTTCATCAATATTAGTTATTGACCACCTTCCTGAGTCAATCTACTCTGATAACTTGGCTAACTGTGTTCCATATCTACTCATGTAAAACGTTTCAATAGCTATGTCAAAAGAGAAGAGAAATTTGCGCATCCAAGGTAAGTATACATAGTTATATTCAGTTAATCAATTTTTTTTTGTTTTGAATCAACATATCTTAGTAAACACCTGATCTAAGTGCATCGGCCACGTGATTTCGCAAAGTGCACGGATGCGTAACACAGTCGAACCTTGCCTGAGTGAACGTGTCTCGTTTCACCCTCTATGGCCATGAGAGTAATTTTGCTTCTGACGGAACAACTTTGCAACTCATCAATATTTTTTCCCCTGACTATGATTGGATATATCCACTGTCTTAATCTAAATTTTGATACAAATACATGGTCAACTGGTTTATTGTTGATTTTGCTCTTGTTTTTAAAGTTGTTCTTCCATATCATAGAACTCAATCATGGCAAGCAAACAAGTCAGTAAGATATCAATGTAACTCGTTTTTCAGGAGACATTTGTCAATTTTCAAACAAATGCGACGATGTATAGGGGGACAACGTGTGACACGAAATTCATAAGTCCACCGTTTCCCCCTGGCTCTTATTATTGCAAGTGTAATCCTGGTTTTGTCCCACCGAGCTCCACGGCACTTCCTGTTCGAAACTAAGTAGCACCTGGCGAGAAATGCATCAAAGGTAAACAAAAGAAGAGATAAGATAATAACAATCGTTAGTATCACTATCGCCATTACAGGAGTAACAATCATGATATAATAACCATGATAATAATTAATAGAAATGATAAAAGGACAGTTTTCATAACAGCCAATGGGAGAGAAGGACAACATCATCATTAGCCGATCTGAACTCAAAGTTAAACAGGCAAACTGTTTCGGTGAAACGCAAGAAAATACGAATGTACAGAAAGGATTGGTTATTGTTTTGAATCTGATTGGTTGAGAAGGTGGTGCGAGCTTTTTGGATCAATCACAGAGCGAAGTCAAGAAAAACCTAAGAAATCATGGATAGCTTTAGACATCTAATTGGAAAATGTTTTTATTGCATCACTTAACTGGTGATTGACTTTGCTTCGTTCTGTCAACGGGACGGCCACAGATATATGGTATAGCAAACAAAATCTTGCTTTACTGAAAAAAGCGATTGCGTTCTCAACTGACAAGGGTTTGGCTAAGTTTGTAATGGATGGCGATCCTAGAACTTGTTTCAGGTCCCACACGGAAAAAACCCATGGCTGATTGTGTTTATTGGTGATTTCCAGCGTGTCTTTAATTCGAATTCACTCTGCAAAGAGTAAGGATAATATTACCAGCCTAAAAGGCGTGGGCGTTTCCGCTGGTATGAGATCACCAGCGCTCGTGATATTCTTAAGTAGTAAACCATTCTGATAACAATTTGGGAGCTCTGGTAAAGGATATCCCATGGCCAGTGCAAGACACACAAAAAAAATTTCATTGAAATACGACTCTAAAGTGAACAACAACAGAATTGTTAATATTGGATGATCTTTAATAGGAACGTGCCCAACTGACTGCCATTTCAAAATGTAACCGGATATCAACAATTAACATTTCATGGTATCGTTAACTTTGTTACAAAGTGTTGATTACCCTCCTTTTAGTCATTTCAATCTTATCTATTTTCCCTTTTATTTATTGTAGACAGCCACGTTTTACCTCTTTTATTCATTTTTAAGGTAACAGAAGTCAATACGTAAAATGCGCACTTGAGAAATTTCTGATCGACGACCGAGAGACGAGCTACCAATGCAGCTCAGAACTGTATGTGTTTGTAAGTTCTGTTATAATAACTACTACTGAAGCCCCAGTGCTGCGATCATGTGAAGTTGAAGTTTACGCCTACACATATAGTAAGAACCACAGTTTAAACCTCTTTTTTCTTAAAAAAAAAAGAAAACCTCGTCGATCGCATTCAGGTAAAGTAGATGTTTTTCTATTTCGACAACATTTCGGCAGTGATTCTACTTGCTGTTAGACTCATTGAAGGGAAGCACGAATTACTTTCAACAACTCACTTTGGAAACTTGGTTTAATAATGAATTAATTTATTCCTCAACAAAAAACTACCTACATAAAACACTGAACTCTCAACGACGTTGAAATGACCAACAAGCCGAACAGAACAACCAAACTTTATTGACGGATCAAAGCTTAATCCACCACAACTGAGCTACGCTACTTAAGGCTTTACAGCTAATAACATCCCAGTACAACTGACAAACCGGTGATTTTCATGAACCATACTTCAATGTTTTATCGAAAAGCAACTCGATTCACCAGAATCGGGTGATAACTTACGCGTGGGATGTCGAATTGTCAGTTAGTATCTCTGAAAAGAGTTCTTTTGAGCGATCTCATCCATAGAATCTAACCACACAATTAACAGTTACTCCTGGCCGTTAAATCGAAAAAATTCTCTTAGGTCTATGAGTAGTTGCGATAGTTTTATAAGCTTATTTACTCTCAATGTTCAGGAAACGTTATCGGAGGGAAGCGATTTTGCCGTCAATGACATCGACGGGGACGCAGGAAAATTGTTTTAGAGCGAGAAGCGAACACGTGTCTCACTATTTCTGGAGGGTGACCCTTGGAAAAATGTTCGAGTGGCGCTTGTTTTCATATTACTGCAAGCTAAATTTCAATATAAAAATGTCAAAACTCAAGTCGGTAAGTTCTTTGTTTAGTTATTCTTTCCTTTGTCTTGTTTGTTATGATTCATTTGTTCTTTCTTTCTTTCTTTTTTTCTTTCTTTCTTTCTTGATAATTTGTAAAATAATAAATTTGCATTGTAGCCACGGAGCTACAAAGGGAATGACATCATCCAAAGTTACCTTTCAAACCAACCATGTACTGAATTAATTATTGAATTACTAACGAAAAAAAAAAAAACAACAACAACAACCACTATACGATATCGGCAACAGATTTGTAAAGTTATGGGTTTAATAAATGATTTTTGCCCAATTTCCAAGAATTCATTTTCCAAGAATTACGAAAAACAGCCAAACTTTCATGAAAATGGTTCGACCTGAACTTACGCTTATAACTTTGAAAGTTGACGAAGGCAATACAATGTGTTGTACAAATACACTGCAAAAATGGGATGTTTTCGAACTGGATAAAATGAGATAAAATGAGGTGAGATAAAATGAGATGGGACAGAATTGAATGGAATGGATTGTGATGAGATAGAATGGTATTGGATGGGATACCAATGTGGAGGATGGAAATTTTTCAGCACTTTACTTCCAGAATATTAATCCCGTTACTATGATAATAATAAAGAAGCAAACCTTCCGGCTATAAATCTTAGATCCTCTGCGGTAGAAAGGTTTAGCCCCTGTAGACAATTAATGTTGAAAAACTGCTGCAATGGTGTGTCCTAAGTTTAATGTCCGAGGAAGCTTGCGGCGGCAGAAAAACCTCATCCATGCATATCCCATAATTATTGCTTATCTATGTAAGAGCCACATGCTTCGTTTCCTGACAGGTTTTTTTTAGATCATCATGCGTGTCACTTCGTTTGCGAGATGTGTTCCTCATAGCGGCGTTGCCTTTGTTCCTGGTTTAGCGACATCTTTCAAGATGGATATTTTCTTTTTTACTCAACTGCTATTGTGCTGAGAATGTAAAACAATATTGCGAGAGGTAAAACCAAATCATAAATGTGCCTTTTAACAATAATACCATTACTTTGATCCCTAAAGAAATATATTATGAAACGGAAAATAATGAAATCTTTTACTCACTTATCTTAATTAACCTTAACATAGCAATAAAATTCCATTCGTTCACAGAGAAGCGATGACTTTGAATCTTGCACATGACAGCACGCTCTATGATTATGCTTTCTCTCACGCGTAATAAATATTCTCAGCCATCCTCTTTTCTTAGTGGTTGATATTAAAAATGACATCAGTATTGAAACAGTGACGTTATTCTCTTTTCCATGTCCCGTGGCAAAATTTTATTGGTTCAAAGCTCAAAGGGAATTTTCTTGGCCAACAAAAAGGGTTTGACTTTGAAACTCTCACATGGTAGACAAGTAATATTAACCTTTTTTTTCTTTCAACGCGTTATAAACTTTCCCAATGATACGAATATTTGTTTGCGTTTTCTGGTTGATAGCTGTACTTAAAATTTGAAGTAATCGACTCGGCGACTAGCGAGTCCTCCTTGACCATCTTTTTGCGCATTGAAAGTAAGATTTGGCGGTCAAAAAAAGTCTACATTTAGCGGACGGCCAAAATGTTCATGTTACATAGCTGTGACAAGTCGGCAACTACGGCGGAGAAAGGAGCCGGATCTAGAAGAGAGGACGAACGTATTGCGTAGCCGTAGCACCAAATGATGTTAGCTACAAGAGTAATACACACATACCGGGTATTTCCACGCACTATTTTCCAAAGGATGTAGTTGTGAATGTGTTTCCATCGTCGAAATCGAGAAGATTTTACTCTTCAAAGTCGTCGGCCTCATGCTCCTTATCGGCTTCGAACGCGGCTGTTAACGAGTACATACCACTGGTCAAATCAGGGAAAGATTACCAATTAATTCAGCTGAAA